AACCAATGCAGGTAAATGAGATGCGGCTTTAAAGCCAGATAGGAAAACTATCCACACCAGCAGCCCCTCTGTTAACGCTTCCTTCCCGTTTCACCCCCAACATGCGCCCTTGAGGACGTTACAACTCCTGCCAAAATCTCCGGGCAGCGCTGGGAGGAAGAAAGTGGGACTCATCATCGGCTTCTCGTCCAGCAAACCCCAGACCAGCCCACGGTGTTCGCTCGCTCCCCTGCCGCATCTGTAGGGGTGGAGCACCGGACTGATCCAGGCCGGGAGTCCCCTGGTGTTTCTGCTGCTTCTGCCGCTCCATGGACGGGCGGACGGTGGGTACGCAGTCAGCCTGTTGTGGAGAAATGGACTCCCGCCGCTGAATCAGCCACACCGAGACAGGTAAAGAGACTCCAGCAGGAAAACGAACTTGAAGGCATCCCTTATCCTAAATGTTTTAATAAGACCGTTGTGCATCTAGCCCAGTGGAAAATATTAATTCTAGACTGTTTAACTAGTCCAAAAAAAAATCTGTACAGGTCTGTAGAATGTTAATGTCCCTGGATGTTCCTAGAGTGCAACTAAAACACAAGGTTGTTTAAAACTCTTTTTGTCATATCTCTATGTGTAAGGAAGATATTTCAGCCCCAACCCCCTGTGTGGGCTCTAACCAAAATGGACTGAAGTACTGCACTCTTTCAGACAAACAAGGACCACAGAGTAGTCTATACATCTGTTCTTGTTGTTCCTATGACACAGTCATAAGGACATGTCACAGTTTGTTTTGAGCCTCTTCTCCTTTGTAAGGCCATGTCTGCGGAAGTGTCTTGATTAAGAAATGATGAATTCAGTTGAAGAGGGAAATGTTACAAGGTGGCACATTATTCGTCTTTTCACATATTAAACTGAAGGTGAAAGTGAAGAGGCTTCCACACCAAATTGCACAAACAAAGCTTTGTGTAGATGAAGGTCGGTGTTCACAGTGAGCAAGCTGCTAGTCTCTCCTACACAGCTGCACAATTCTGAGCCAAGTGCTGGATGATTTTCTGCAGGTTTTGTGCCCAAACCTCCACTTTGACCCCCAGATACATTAAACATTACATTAAAATAATGACACTGTTTGCAGTTGCCCAGTTTTCTGCATAAATGGGTCATGAAATGTGATCTGATCTTCACTAAAGTCACAAACACCAACAAACAATATTTTTAAGCCAAAAAAGCACCAACAGTTTTCCCAATTCAGTCATGATCTTTCATGTCTTTATTGGACACACCCATTAAACACCTATGATCAAGAGTTGCTGTTTTGCATGTAGCTGGAAGGGGCTCCAGAGTCACCTGAAAGACTTTACATATTCAGACATCTTGTCTATAAATGCAAACCATTTGGTACTGTGGCTACTCCCCATAGAAGTGGGCACCCAGCCAAGATTACTCCAAAGGCACAATGCAGAATGCTCAGTGAGGTAAAAAGGAACCCTAGAGTAACAGCTGAGTTGGTTAACATCTCTGTTCACGAGCCAATCACATGCAAGATATTGAACAGACATGGTATCAATGGCAGGACACCATGGAGGAAGCCACTGCTGTCCAAAAACAACATTGCAGCGCACCTGAAGTTTGCCAAAGACCGTCTTGACACTGCACAACATTAATGGCACAATGTCATGTGGACAGGTGAAATGAAGGTTAAATTGTTTGGGAAGAACACACAGCACTACATGATGTAAGAAGAGAACTGCGTACCAACATGAAAACATCATCCCAACAGTGAAGTACAGTGGAGGGAGCATCATGATGTGGGGCTGCTTTGCCTCCTCTGGACCTTGATGACGTGCCATTGTGAAGAGGAAAATGAATTCCCAAGTTCATCAAGTTATGCTACAAGATAATGTCAGGCTAAAGTCTATAACAGGGCTGAGTCAACAGCCAGTTTAGGTTTTATATTTAAGCCCAAAATACACTGCCACAAACTTTTTAAATCTGACTTTTCGTGGTTCCTTTAGTTTTCTGATTGCAGATTGAATCACTTTTTGTATAGGAAACCACACTGAGCATTTTTTGTCCTTTCTAGCTTTCCAGATATTTCTTAGACCAGACTGACTGATTACTCAGCAGGGGAAATACTTATTAGTAATAACCCAGTTAATATACAACTGAGCACTGATCATACTAGGGCTTATTGGTAAATGAGCCACATGCAAAAACCCATTGTGAATGTTTAAAACTGTATTCTGTTAGTTTGCATACATGAAACTCATAGCAGCCTGCAGACAAATGATAAGACTGAGACCTGAAAGCAATAATACAACATTATTTAGGTTTGCATCTGTTAACTTTATTTACAAATCTGATGTTTAATGGCTTGCCTTGCACAAAGATCATTTCTGGTGTGACAGAAATGTTTACATAGGGTTAGTTTTGTGGACCATTTTAACCCTGGTTTGAAGAATCAAATGTAGTAATAAGAACAGAAATGTTAGGATTTTAAAGAATGCACAGAATGTGGAATGATGATGTGAGTTATGGGGATGAACAGTAGCTCTGTGTGTGTGTGTTTGTGCATGTTTGATTTTGTTAAAGAAACCTCTCCAGCAGCTAAAGTCCTTGCAGGAAGCCAGTCCACAAGTGTTTTGGTAAAGAGGCAAGATAAAGTACTGTTCTGCCCTTGTGGCACTCACAGCCTTTAGATAGAAGCAGAAGCATTTTCCTGTGTGTCTATGTGTGTGAGTGTGTGCTGGGTGGGTTGTTGTATGTGTGTGGGGGGAAAAAACACTTTTTGTTTTTCAGGATCACTGTTTGATGTTGTGGTTTTTTTGGTAAATGTGAAATATTGAGGTTGAGGGCAGATTGTTTTCACCTCCAGCCTGATCCAAGCTGTCGCTTCACTAAAAAATGTTTTATCTGCTCTTCTCTGTTTTCTGTTATTGCCCACTTTTCCTCTGCTCTTTTCTTATATTTATCCTTTGATATTTTAATTATTTAACCATTTTACAAGCAAATGAAAAGTACTGAGGTGATTTTGTTCTGCATGTTGTTTGATCACCTTTTTTTAAACAGACATCCATGGTTCCCAGAGGCTGAACCCTACTGACTTTGGTAGTTGTTAGTCTTTTTCTCTACAGCTCTACCATGAGGTAGACATTTGTGTTTTTAAGTGAATTTGTATGGATATTTGTTAAATTTGATATAGATATCCACATCACCCTCAGGATGAATTGTAAGGACTTTGTTGACACCACCAGGTCAAACATTTATTTTGTTCGATACTTTATTTATGACCAAAAACCTGAAAAACTAGTGACATTTATCACCCTGAGCTGTACCATTTGTTTAGTGCTAATTAGCAAATGTTAGCATGAAAGCACAATAAACTAAGATGGTGAGCATGGTACCCAATATACCTGCTTAACATCAGCATGTCGCGTTAGCATGTTGATGTTAGCATTTAGCTCAAACCCCCACTGTGCCCATGCCACATTTATTAATTTACACTGGCAGTAGTATCATAGCAAAACACCTTCAATGGCTTAAGAAATATAGGCAAAAAATAATACATTCTATTTCTTCATACCATGTTATCTTATTCAGTTTCTCATACTTTTAATTGAAGGAAAAGCTCCTACTTATTGTACTCTGCTCCCTGTTGCATTACTTGATTAATTGCAGTGTGTTTAATTAGGAAATACTTCATGGTATCTGGTTACATTTTTTATAAATGTATTTTGTTAAAGAGTAAATTTGCTGACAATTCATAAAGCTTTGTAAAAGGAAGTCTTTGTGGAAACCATAGGCTGTATATAATTTTTATAATGAGACAGATTGTTTTAGAAGTCCAGTGGTGCAACCCAAAATCTAATCTCCAAATAAAGCAAATAAAATTATAAAATTGCATGTGTCATTTGCCCTAAGCCTGATACTGGTAACTAAATCCCTGGGTAAACTCTTAATAGTAATTACTGCAGGACTAAGAAACACCCAACAGAAATAGGGTGATAATGGGAACATTTCCATCAGCTTTAACAAGTTGCCCTGCTCCCCTCCCTTCCCTCTTCACCCATTGTTCCATCCAGCAATGGAGACCGAAAGCTTAGTTAGTCAGCGTTTATCAGTAAATCCAGAGCCCTGGAGGCCAAGCTGTATTCACTTTATAGCACAATAGACATATTGTCCCCAATGTTTTTATCATTTCCAAACCCATACTTTTCCATTAGCCTCCAGTTTATTTTTTTGACCTCCGAACTGGTATAATTACATAGCCACCTCCCTTTTTTCATTGTCATTTGCTCCTTCCACTCTCCATCTTTCTTCTCTTTTCCACCCTCTTTCCTTCCATCTGCCTCCATTTTACCATTGTCAGATTCATTTTAGGGTTGAAAGATCTGAAATAAATTTTTAGAAGATGTGATTCATGTTGAAAAATGAAATAATGGCCCACATTATTGTGAGTTAAGAGTGATGTATAGAAATTCATATTCATTATAAAAGCACTTGTGCATGCATTTACTCTTGTCAGCAGGCCTGTGAACCTGTGCAACATGTCTTTTACATCACAGGTAAAAGCTTTGATGTGTGGTTGTTATTTCTTTCTGTTTGTCCAGTGTGATGTTCAGTATCTCGCCCTCCCCTGGCAGGCTGTGAGGGCATGAGAATGCGACGAGGGCGGGATTTCATCCCTGACTCCCACCCGAGACTATCACCTTCTCCGCCTCCAGTCACTTGGTTACCCGGCGTCCTCAGCAAGGGCGTACGCCTGCGTCTGCGTCTGGATCACCATGATGACCAGGGGCGGGGCTGCTGGCACCTAGTGGATTTGGAGGCAGAGTCAGAGCCATCTAGGCAAAGTCAGAGGAGCCAGGCCCCTGACGCCTGCACACAGAGTAAGAGCTGATCATTAAAAAGTGAACCTTAACACTTTAGGTTCAAGGTGATTTGGCCTGACTATAAATATTTGCTAGGTTCTAAAATATTTTTTTGGATTGCAATTTAATATCAATTCCTTTATTTAAATAAAAGTAGCAGGAAAATACTTTATTATAAGCAGTAACACAGCAATCAAAATGTATTTTAGGTAAGACTACATGCAACTTATTAGTGAAATATTCTCACTTTAGTGCCAAAAGGGCTTCTGTCACTGTCATATTATTGTATAATGGAAAACTGCATCATTATTACTGATGCATTACAGTATATTTAATTAAAAGTTTTCTAGCAATGTTTCACATTTTTAAACATTTTAATCCTATAAATTAGCTAGTAACTGCAGAAATGTGTTGTGGAATAAACAGTACAGAAATGCAAAGGGAATGGAGTTGAACTAAAAAGAAGTGAAATGTTTATATAAAATAAAATCACTGAACTCAGGGTTTCCTCTGGGGAAACCCTGGAACTTAAGTTCTTATCCACTTTATACCACCATTTAACATTATTACTGGGAAAGAGAGAAACTCAAGAAGTCAACGTTACATTTGTCTGTTTAGTCTTCTAGATGTGCAAATGTGTGTGAGAGAGCATGTGTGTCTCTAAAGGAGGACAGTTGTGTATTCCTGGATGTGATTTATCAAAGCTTCTCATTTTGACCAAAGAGCAATATCAACAAGAGCAACACTTTTCAGCTTCCCTTTCTTCTGGAGTGTGTGTTATGAAGAGCCTGAGTGGAGATAAGGAGGGGCAGTGTATGTGTAAGGGTGTGTGTGTGTGTGCACATAAGGGTGTGAGCGTGCGTGTTTAATACATTCATTGTTGTTTATGCGTTTATTTATTCTTACCTTATCACATGATTCTGGCGCAGGATCCGATTTCACCGTCTGTTACCATGGTGATGCCCTGCCTGAGCTGTAAATAAATTCAGGCGGTTTGTTACATTGATTAGAGAACACACATAAACACATACCCTAATCTATTCCGCAACCCGGCAAATACAGTTTGTCATTAAAATGCCATTATTGTATGTATGCGTTTTGGTGTGTGGGTGACACATATTTTGTTTATATGTTTGTAGGTGTGCAATTTAGTCAGGCATTAGCATAACTCACTTCACTGCAGTTTCTCCTCTGCATAAGTGAAAACAAGCACAAATCTCCATCCCCTGAAGCTTGTGATTAAGTTATGCTAATCATTGCTGATCATTGCTGCATTATTGTGGCTATAACGCTAAGTTCCATCAGCTTTCAGATGCCTTCCTCTGACATGCAGAGACAATATCCCTTAGTTGGGAAATAAAATTGGGCATAGGGGTTCACTGATCACTTAATTGCTTAATTAGCCATAAACAAATTATGCTGTGGTCCCAGTTGGATTGTGTTCGGGTGCAGTGCAGTGTTGCAAAGCTTCTCCCTTGCCTGTCAAAAAAAAAAAAAGTGTTGTCTCATATTGCCAGGCAGTATTAATGGGCTTCACTCCCTCATATCCAGTCCTTTGCAAGTAAAAGATGATTACCTGTTCTCTCTCAGCCTGCTTCTGTCTGTAATGGGACAGAACTGACTAAAGAAGGACATCAGGATTGTGTCATTACTTTTATGATTTGTGGGTCCCTTCCTTCACACACACAGGGTACCTGCTGTCACAGTCAGTGCAGATTAAGTGTGTGAACATGTGCCAGCATTCAGTATCATAGCCTTATTGTCCTGACCTTGCTGTTTATTATCCCTTTTGTATTATGGGCTTTGTATAACGAAACACTACAATTTGTCTGGCTTGTCACATTGGGTGTTAAAACAGCTTGTTAGTGACGGCTTTACAGCCGACCCCTGACAAATCTCTTGACACGCTGTGTGTGTGAGAGAGGGCATGCCAGTGTTTGAACCTTCCTTTGAAAGGTTAACCTCATTTTGACTGAGTGTTAAAACCCACAAACGCAGCTTCGAATGGGAATCAGCATAGCAACCTGAGAGTAACTAATTGATATGTGGTGGTGAGGGATAAAGCCAGAGTTGTACTCTACACCTGTAGCCTTTAAGAACAAATAAGCACTCTGGAGCCTGCGTTTTCTTTTCATACCTGCACCTCAGTGAGGAAAACACACTCAGCCTTGCCTTTGGCTGGTCTTTTTTTTTTCTCCATTCGTGGTTTTTTTTCATTACAGATAAAACAAAAGGTGCATACATGGGCTGACACAAAGGCAGAGGAAGTCTATAAATAAAACGGAGGCAGTGAACTCTGACAGAGATGCGATCTTTTATCACAAACAAGAGACAGAGTAATCCTGAAGGGCTTCTGCTTTAACCTTAGAGCTGATCCCTCTGCTCAGTCTATGTAAGAAAAGTTCAAACATTTTAAATTCATTAAAAATATATTATCAGAGTTTGGTTCGTGCTTATGTTAAGAGAGCATGCTTCTTGGGCAGAAATTTGAATTTCTTCAGAAATAATTTGAGTACAGATTACAGTTTGTAACCTGAGCGCCTGTAACGCAAAGCGCTGCACAGCTTGACTCCCTTGTCACTGCTCTAAGGTTTTTTTGAAGACAGACAAGAAAAAAACCCTGAGCTGTAATTACATTACAGTTGCTGCACAGCCACACACAGACACACACGCAGACAGACACTGCTTTGGGCTCAGCACGTCTGCCGGCTGCCGCGGGATGTTAGAGGCGTGTTGCTATGACGACAGAAAGGGGACACAGAAGAAGGGGGTTAGGGTAGAAGAGAAGGGGAGGAGGGGTTTTTGAGGAAGATTGAGGAAGAGAGAGAGAGAGAAAGACACAGAGTTGCCGGTGTCTTGACAGTGTGTTGCAGCAGACAACGGTGGAAGCAGACTGCTGGAGATCCATCAGGGGAATATCCAGAAACCTGCAGCTGGGGTGAAGCATTCCACAGACAGTGATTACCAGACAGCTGCGTGCATGGTAGGCAGCGCTCAGAATGCTAGATGTGTGCTCATTTTGAAGCTTTTTCTGTATGATTTAGTCTGAATGAGGATGGAAGGAGTCAGGTACATTCATGTTCTGTCTCAGTTCCTGTTTGTGACAAGTGTTTTGTCATCACAGGAAGAGGGATTTATTCTCTAATAGTTGCCAGTCTGTGTGTACTGAAGTTAAAGCAGATGTGTGTTATTTAGCTACTGTAACAGAATTAAAAGAATAATAATTATGTGACAGGTATCAGCCTTTGTAAAAAAGAGCTTCAGTTTCAAAGTTTATGTCAGGTAGGTATTGTGTGCATTGAATGAAATGATGGAGAGATCAACTGGAAAAAAGGTGTATTATGAAAGTCAGGGCCATGTGGGTAAAAAGCATTATGACAAATGTTTGAAAACACTGCTCTGTGCACGTGTGTGTGGCCAGTCTTCACTTTTTCATGCAACTTCAAATTTGGGCTGTGTGAAGGTTAAGACTTAGATTTAGGGTTAAGGTTAGTTTTAGAATAAGGCTTGGAATTAGTTTATTGTTATGGTTAAAATCAGAGTCAGGGGCTAGAGACTGCAATATGTCCTCACAAAGATATAGCTGTGTGTGATTGTGTGTGAGAGTGCACTTGCCTGATTGTTTGATAGTGTGGGTGTTGAGAGTATATGTGCTTTCCTTTCACTACTTCTGTGTGTGTGTGTGTGTGTGTGTGTGTGTGTGTGTGTGTGCGCGCTTGTGGCTTTGTCTCTCTCTCTCTCACTGTGCAGTAATGATATTTATTGCAATCTTTGCAGCTGGAGGGGGGAGGGGTGGGGACGGGTGTGGTGGAGTACAAAGCTTTTTTGTGGCATTGTTTCTACTATTTTCTGTAGTTTTGGTTTGTGTGTATGTGTGAGTGAGTGAGTGAGTGTATGTAGAGGAGGTAGTTGCACATGTGCGTCTAAATTTCCGCTCTAGTTTGAAGCCGAGTCAGCGGTGCGTGCACTTTCAAGCTGCCACGTCCTGTTACTTTCAGTTTAATAATCTTTCTGTCTCTGTCAGGTCTGATGAGTACTACTCTGTCTGTCGGCTCAGAAATGCAGACTCCCGCTCCTGGCCCCCAGTTCATAGTGGGGCCTCAGGGCAAGATACCTGGCAGAAAGAGAGGTCGGCCTCCCATACGTAAGCTGGAGTACCAGGGTCACTATGTAGAGCCTCTGTCACCACCCAAGGTCCCAAAGAAGAGAGGCAGGAAACCTGGCTTTAAGGTCAGTCACTGATTGTTATATTTTCATATTAATCTCAAATTTTATATTCCTTTGCAGTGACAGTTGAACGATGGCTATACAGGCTACTGAAAGCAACCGCTTGAGTCTTACCTGTGTCTACACAGGATATATTCAGGCACAGTACTGAGTATAGCTCGCCTCTGTTTTGGCAGCTAGCGCTCACACTCACTGTGGCATAACATGGACCTCACATAGAAACTATTTGTTCCATCAGATGTGTGTGAGATACAGTATGTGATGCAGCCGCAAGCCTTCCTGTGTGGACAAGCTATTATCAAGGCATTTTGTTTAACAAGTGTGCTTTACTTTTAAGATACCCTGAAGAGTTTTTCTTGTAACAAAAAACAGTATTATTTTCATTTCATTTTCTCACCAAACCTCAGAAAAGTTTAAAATTGCATTGTTTATATCCACAAGTACAGCAGTTATTTCTTCTTCTTTCCTTTCCTCTGCTGGTAAATTAATAGGTCTGTTGGTGTGCTATTTTGTTTAGCCATTGATAAAGGAAATAGTGTTAAACTGGTGAAAGAAACATAGCATTCATGTGCATTTTAGTGCTCATAGAGTCCATAGCCACACGCTCATCACAACAGTGCTCTGTAGCATCACTTGTAGTAAAAATGCCATAGGTCATCTTTATTATTGGCATTTATATGTCCACTTTAAGAATATTGTCTTCTGTAATGGTATGAATATGTTTGGCACATGTTTATTTTCTTAAATAGGGAAACACCATTGATTTATGTGCATACACATGTGCATGTCTATAGCCAAAGCCCAGGATGGTGATGTCCCCGCTGGATAACTCTCCTCCCAGTAGCACACCAGAACCTGAGATGGGCTCCGTCCCACAGGATGCTGCTATCGTCCCCCACTCTGCCACACCACAGGTTCTGACAGGTAAAACTGCAAAGACAAAGACACACACACACACACACAAACACAGTCATATTATTGTAACCTTTATAAGCCTTTCTATCTGATGAAATAGTCTAATGGATAATGGCTCTGTACAGCGGGACATGATGTTACACAAGAACGTTACAAGGTCTAATGATTTTTTTAAACCTTAAAATGTGAAGCTCATCAGTATGTGGAAGATGGTCCTCATATTTTTACACTTATTTTACATTCAGTTTGTCTTGATGGTGTGACTTTGTGCTTTCCCTTCATCTCTTTTGTTTTTGAACCTTATATTTTTCATCCCCCTTTTGCTCTGCTCTGAATGTGACTTTAATTCAGTGCTAAAATACACACTTCTGCCTTTACAACTGTCAGTGTGATGTGCTTCTTCTTTGTTTTCTAAATTCACAGATGGCTTGTTCTCTGTTAAGACATACGATGTAGATGTAAAACTATAGACTCTTGTGTGTGTGTGTGTGTATGTTGAATACAAAACAGCACAAGTGTCTGTGCTTTAATGTGTATGGCAACATGCTTTAAAATGATGAATATCAAAAATAACCTAAACCTGTCTTTGTTCTTTTGCCCCTTCA